GTCAAGAAAACGGGGAGAGAAAAAAGAAGGAAGGTGATCATCGCGACCCCCGGCGACGCTGCAGAAAATACGCGAGTTTCGAAATGCTGTCCTCCAAAAAAGGAGCAGAAAAGGGACGCGAGTCTAACGAAGATATCTAGCGAAAGGAATCTCTGGAGCACGCATTGTGCATTCAAGGTACGTTCCTCTTTTCGTATTATCATTCACGCAGATCATCTCGATTCTCTCTTGCTTTATATGTCGCTTCCTCCATTTCTATAATTTCGGAAATTATTATACCGCGACTATATGTATTGTTAAATATTGGTGCGCAATCGTGAACGAGATGCGCGACAATACCGCTCTATCATTCTATTTATACGAGCCGGACAAAAACAGACAGGAATCATGTTTGGCTGAGCAGAGTAACGCATTCGATACAGTCCGACCAGCTGAAAAAGGAAAATTTACTCGCGTGAGGATTGAAATTTCTATGACTTCTATATGAGTCTATAAATCGGACCGCAGAATTACCCATGATTGGAGATAATAATTATAATTTCATGTATAACTGTGTATAATTAAATCGATAACAATATAGGCTCCGGAAGAGCTGCATTGCATCACGATCGCACACGGAAATGTGCGTACACGGGGTGCATATTACATATATAAAACACGTACGTAAAGAACGACGTGAAGAAAAATCGATGCGATTTCATTGTGAATTCTTATTTTATGTTCGCGCGTCGTCTCGAGTTTTTTCCTTCAACAAGGACGACAGATGCGGATACCGTAAAAATTTTTATAGCCCACCGTGAATTTTGAGCGCCCAGTTTTCACGCTGTAGGACTTTTAATGAAACATCATTAGCTTCGCGATACGAAAGATAATTTATAACGACGATTTAATTAACGACGCCTTAGGAACAATAATGCGACAATAATAATTCTGTCACACCGGGTGTTAATAATACACGAGAGTTTACGACATTTCATGATTTCTACACAGAAAGAATTGTCTCTTAGAATTTACCCTGAATATCATGGTAAATTATGTGGAACAATATTGAAAGAATTTTATAAGTTTCTCTGATTAAATATTTACCACAATATATACAAATATTAATATCTACCACATTTTATAAGATATAAAATACGTTCGATTAATTTTACCATGTACATAGTAAAAATTACTGTATAATACATATTATTTTTTATCGAGCTAAATATATTAATAAATATATTATAAAAATATTAATTAGAAAAACTCTTACAAAATTCTTTCAACGCCATGTTATCCAATGATTACCATGACTTTCAAAATAAGCTCTAGAGAAAAATTCTCTTCGTGTATTAAACCGTTGGCAAATAAAAAAATGTATCATTTCTTAATTCTTAATAATGAGTATCATTTTTTCCGCTCGACAACGTCGCGGTTTATAAAGCGATGTGTCCTCTATTCTCATTATCACGAAAATTCAACTCGTTTACGGTTCTACACCTGCGGCGAAGTTCAAGGGAATTTTCTTGAATGCGCCGCCCTTAGATAAATTACCTGAGATTCTCCAAATCGAGCGTGCACAGGCCTAAGAACCCCACGCTCGTATTAGGCTTTATGACTCCATTATTCGTCGGGCGATCGAAATAAAGGTAGGAAGTTATTAAGACGAATAGCTTCACCGTGGTTCTTTTTAACCTGTCCCGAAATATTAAAAAAAAAGAGACAAGGGAGAGCGAGAGAGAAAAAAAATCTTTAATTCATTCCACACGCAGTGTCAAGTCTAGGTAAAGTAATTACAGGGGAATTTTATATATAGATCTTTTTTTGGTCAATGTATAAATATAAAAGCAATCAGCACGTGACTGTTAAAGCTTTTTTTCGAGCATACCTTTTTCGAGAAAAATTTCGAATCGTCTATGTATATCCTCTTAAGATATAGCGGTCTGTCCCAAATAAAGTGTAAACACGTTTCCAGTCGCAGTGTCGTTGCTCTAAGAGCTCGAAAGAATCTCTACCCCAATCTTTTATATCTTGACGGATACAATGCCGCCGAGAGGCCAAAACTGGCTAGCGTGTAGAAACGTTGTACCCGACAAACATCTGCCCGAAATACAAACCGCTAATAGAAACGCACAAAAAGATGTCATGAAAGAAGAAAGGACGACAAAAAGCATGGGGGAAGCAGCGAAATGCGGACAATAAACCCTCTCTAGGATGTAACAAAAAAAAAAAGAAAGAAAAAAGAGAAAAACGTGGAATAAAAGAGCTAATTGAGAAGTTTATCCGAAAAGGGCGCGTTCGCGACTAATATAGTGATGCATTCAGTACAAAAAATGAGTGTACATTTAAAAATACGTTACGTCTTGAAGTTGACAAATGTAAAAAAACCGGGTGAAAGTTTATGGTTCTCTAACTCCTGCCGGAAAATAGAATCTCTCTATATAAAATATAATAAATCAACCGCGAGTATCAAACGAGAAAGCGTGTGAATTTTGCGAGTCTCTCCACCCGGAAACGCGTCCGATTCTAGGACGTCTCTTTTGGAAGAGGCGGCTTCTCTCAGGAGCGATGCTGAAGAGAGGGAGCTCCTTCCCACCCGAATGAGGAAGAGAAAGAACCGCGTGGAAAGGGTGGAAAAAGACTGTATCTCCGTCGTGTTCTTAGTCATTGGTTACCAACGCAACGCCCGGGCAAGAGCGACTCCTTTCTCGCGTGGGTCGACTGAGAGTATTTTAATAGGAAGCAACGTGCAACAGGTACAAGTGCACAAGAGCCCGTTCGGGTTACGCCCATTCCGGCTCTCGCGCTTCTCGTCGTACGGACACCGAGCCGATATTTTCTCTTTATCGGCGTGGCTTTCCTCCCTTCTTTCGCGATCTTTCTCGCCGACGCGACCGGAGAACATCGTCATGGATCTCTCGCGGACCCGAGACTGTCGCGACGATCTTTTGCTCACTTGATCGACCAAACGCTACGCGAAGAGAATTTTCTCTTAGAATTTGCCCGGAAAATCCTCGTAATTGTGGGGCAATATGATATTGGAAGAATTTTATAAGTTTCTCTAATTATTAATATTTACCGCAATAAAAAATATTAATATGTACATAATAAATTTTACTATGTACAGGGCAAAATTAATCAAACATTGTGTAGATATTAATATTTTCTATTGTGGCAAATATTAATCAGAGAAACTCTTATAAAGTTTTTCCTATTGCCTCATAATTACCATGATTTTCAGGGTAAATTTTGAAAGAAAATTCTCTCTGTGTAGGAAACCAAAGCGATTTATACTCAGCAGTTACATTTTAAGTGACGAAGAAGACCCTAATTTATCGTAACTTATCCTTACGATAAAATATGAACCCCGAGCATCTCTTTCCAAATTATAGGATTACTGCAGGGTGCAAACGACTTCGATCATTTTCCTCATTTCTCGCGTCTTAAGGTAGGATAGGACGTTCTCTAAGAATCTGACGAGAAAACCTACAGCTGCTGCAGACTCGCGAGTAGATGCTCTTTCTCTCTCCTGATTGTGAGACGAAACTAATTTTCCACGAACAAGTCGATTACGTTGATTGTTTTTGTTGACTGACGTCTTGGACGCGAGAAAGAGAAAGAGAGAGAAAGGAAAGAGAGAAAGAGAGCATAAGGAAGGAGAAAAAGAAATTTTAAGGAGCGAACGAAACGGAGTCTCTCTCGTGATGGGCTCTCGGGATCTCTTTAAAGTGCCGCGGTCTTCCGATAATTAGAGGGCAGCCATTGTTACACCGGGGCTCTCTCGAGCAGAGATAGAGAGAAAGAAAGAGAACAGGATGAGAAGAGAGAAAGAGATGGCCGCAGACGGCGAAACTCGGAGAGAACGGAGTAAAAAAAAGGACCAGCCTACCCGGCCACGGAAATTCATGATTTTAAGAGCCGCCACGCGATGGAGAGACGATGGTAAACGACGTGAGTGAAATCGAAAGAGGAACAACACGAGTGCGCGGAGAGACGCGAGAAGATCGTGAGAACCCGGGGAGAGAAAATGACGGTGTCGAAAGCAAACGTGGGCCACGACGTATCTCTGTGCCGAGCTGTGACGAGCATTCGAGATGAATGACTCGATGCCTTTTCGCGGAGATTTCGAGCGCTCGCGCACCGCGATAATGTTATTTTGATTATCTGATAACTGGGCGGGAGTGCAATAAACGTGCGTAGATACGGCCCCTTCGTCATTCAACACACATGATATCTCGTGGCTAGGTCGGTTTATGCTAAATATTTATATCTAACATTGCTCCAGTTTTTTTAATAATGAATTAATTTTAATTTTTTTAACATTAAATTTTATTACACGGAGAACATTTTCTTTTAGAATTTACCCTGAAAATTATGGTAATCGTGGAAAGTAAAAAATATTAATATATATATATATAAGTAAAATTAATCAAACATATTTTACATCTTATCGTGTGGTAGATGTTAATATTTTTTATTGTGGCAAATATTAAATATTTTAATCAAGAGAAACTCTTATAAAATTCTTTCAATACCATATTGTCCTACAATTACCATGATTTTTAGAGTAAATTCTAAGAGAAAATTTTGATTGTGACATGGACGCAAAGTATCGCCTGATATTTATAATCAGTTGATTGTTAAAAATGCAGTTCATGATATAATATATACACGGAGAGAATTTTCTCTTATTGTTAGAGTTTACCCTGAAAATTATGGTAGAATTTTATAAGAGATTTTCAGATTAATATTTACCACAATAAAAAATACTAATATGTACATAATAAATTTTACTATATACAAGTACATTATTAATCAGAGATAAAAACCACAAGATAGAGACACAGTATTAATCAGAGAAACTTTTATAAAATTCTTCCAATACCATATTGTCCTACAATTAGCATGATTTTCAGAGTAAATTCTCTGTGTGTAGATAAATATATAAAAATATAATAATAAATATAAAAATATATAAAGTAGAAAAATCTCTAAAAATACAATAGTTGAAGACTTACCTCAGGAACAGGTATCGAATCTGCTTCATTATGCCGTATCGTGATTAAGTAGCCGCCGCATGTTTCGTTACACAACTGACGAAATTATTTCAGCCCTCTTCCATACGCGCAAAGCAAAGCAACAACGACCTGTGCCTGCGCGAATGTAAAAAGAAAAACCACCATCTGATAAATTATATCGACAGGCAATTAGCGTGTCCGTCGATTTTCATAAATCATCGCTGTCGCTTCTCTTAATGGCTCGATACAAATTGGGACATTTGGGCTCCGCGGTCTGATAATATAACGGTAGCTTTCTCCTCGAAGACTATCACCCGTGTGCATCCGAGTCTTTCATGATCGTACGTCACGAGGTTGTCGGACAAATTGAAAATTTTTCCGAATACGGCGAATTGGCTCGATTAATACGCGATATCTTTTATATAAGTCGCCGCGCCGCGTAATAATTTCCAGTCGCGTTAAAAAGTAATAAAGGCGAAAGGAGACGCATTTTCTCAAAGCCACCTTCGAATGATTTGCAGTTTGCATTTAATCTCGAATCTCTTTACTGTCTTTACATGTCTGGACACTCTCTTGGTAGACGATAAAAACACTGTATATCGAAAACACGTTACATGCAAAATGCGTTGTCACGTCGGCCTACTATTCCTATCCACACACACACGTACACACACATTATAACGTAGACACAACCTACATCAATATCGACAACGTATAGACAATTATATAATTTTCGATTTTAATTAAGTCGAAAGCTGAACGCGTTAGATTTAAAGAGTCCAGGAGCGTTTATGGAGAACGCGGACGATTGAGATGAAAATTCCGAAGGAACGAGGATGTGACAACTCGCAGGGCAGACGAGGCCCTGCACGAATCTCGCCTGCTGCTGATAATTGGCCCAGCCACTGTTTCTCTGATAACAGGTTCTCCGGTTTTGGTGCAGCCGTCGTATATCGCGCGCATGCGTTCTCCTCCCTTTTCGCCACCCCCCGTCGACGTTTCCTCTCTTCTTTGAGAGGTCGTAAAGATAATGCCCACATAATGCTAGCGGCCCGACCGCATCAGCAGCCGGAAAATTTATCCAGATTCCATTTCAATGGAGATCGTTCGGCGCGATTAATTAACTCGACGGATCGCCATCATGAGGGCCTGGGCTCGTGTAGGTTCCCTATTGTCATTGTTTACGAGCAACGTCGTTGCTGTCCGTCTGTTCTCTAGCTCTCGCCGAGAAATCGACTCCGGGGGTTCCGTTTACACGAGGGATAATTAGAATGGACTTTTCATCGCCCGGACAATGCAAGCGCGTCCAAGAGGGATTAATTTACCCCCGGGTAAACCGAAACGGTTTGAATACGCGAGTCGTGCAATTAGCGGCTGCCAACGATGTTAAACAAATTTCAAATTCTCTCTTCGGGTATTTTAAATATTTTCATTAAAATAAATATGATGTATAAAATAAAGTAAAATAATTTTATAAGTTAGAAAATAAAGTAAAATACAAAAATGCATTTTGCTGTTGAGGAATTTACGATTTCATATGGGGAAAAGGGAAAAATCATCCAACTGAGAATTAATCGATACGTCTATAAAAAGGGATATTGCGCTTCGCTCTCTTTAAAGTTAAGTGCGAGTCGCGAGGATCAATCCGGCCGCAGCAGTTTCCAAATATCCCTACCTTTACGAGCCATAAAAGGACGAATGTCGCTTTTAGTGGCTATTACACGGATCTCACCCCGGCTTGGCGTAACATTTACTACGGCTTATGCACCGTGTGCGGCAGTCATTAAAAGACAACCATATGCTCTCTCTCTCGGTGCGCGAGCTCTGTTTACGTTTACGATTAGACATATACACATGTTTCGTCACGATTCTCATCCTCGCGAGCAGCGACATGCGTCCATCGCCGTTAAAGTGTCGTAAGAGTATCTTTTTTTTTATGCTTTTTTGCATTTAAATGCAACATTCTCTTCTAAAACGATATCTAAATTTTGAAGAAAGCCACCGCGACTCTTAACGTCGGATTTGATTCTTCCGTGTATGACTGTGCTGCGGATTACATACGACGTATATAAAGTGTATGCGAAAGACATAGGAAGTATATCGGCTCTCTGAAAGAGTAAAGTCACGCGTAGGCGGTCGCGGTCGCTCTGTGTTCAGACTCCGGATCTTTTTTCGCGAGAAGAATCCGCGACTTATTTGTTAGACGCCGACGCGCTGCCTCTATTTAATACGAGGATCTGGTTCGTTTGTCGTCCCGATTATATCTACCGTTGATCTATCGATCATCGATGCGGTAGACGTCTTTGCTTTCAATGAAGACTTCCCGCAAGGAAGCTGCGAAAAATCTCGAGACAAGACTACAATCAACCCCTCTTATGCGCTAGATAATCACCCCTGGATACAAAAGAGAAAAATGAGATTAGATTTTCTTGAAGCAATAAAACGAGGAAGTACGCTAAAAATCAAAATTTCCTATACACAGAATTTTCTCTTAAAATTTGTTCTCTTTATTATTCTCTTAGAAAATTATGGTAATCATGGGACAATATGGTATTTAAAAAAATGTTCAGTTTCTCTGATTATTTATTTTTTACCATAATAAAAAATATTAATATCTATAGCAATAAGACATACAATATGTTCGATTAATTTTATTATGTATATAGTAAAATTTTACTACTCCTCTCATTAATATTTACCACAATAACAAATATTAATATCTATCACAATAAAATATAAAATATATGTTCGATTAATTTTACTTATGTATAATACCTATATAGTGAAATTAATTGAATATATTTTATATATTTACGTAGATATTAATATTTTTTATTGTGATAAATATTTAATCAGAGAAACTTATAAAATTCTTCCAATACTCAGCATATTGTCCCACGATTACCATGATTTTCAGGATAAATTCTAAGAGAAAATTCTCTTTATGCAGCATTTCCGAATTCTCGCAGTGCTAAACTAGATTTTTCTCGCGCGCGTTATATATTTTTTACATAATATTTCTTCAAATCGAAAAATATGCTAAACGATTAAAATTGCACGAGTATAATTAGGAAACAAATAGAAAATATGGGCTAGAGCTGGAGTTACTTCTCTCTCTCCCTTTTTTTCTCTCTCCTTATACATATATATTTAGGTATATTTCGCTCGCCGGAATTTATTGCGTCAACGAGTTGATTATCAAGGAGGCGGTCAGAATTTACGCACCTGAGCGATCTCACGTATACGTCCGGGCGTTTTTTACGCTTCCCTGCTCCTCCTCGTCAACGTGTCTATGAATATTAATAAGGCTGGCGATCGACGAAATCCTCCGTACGCTGTATGGAAGACATTTCTCTTAGGAGACGCGCGCTATTACATTGAATTCAATTAATTACGCTGATCGATTCTTATCGCGCAAATAGGCGATTTTGTTCATTCAGGCTGAAGCCTTTCTGTCTTGTGATTTTTATAAAAAAAAAAATAAAATAAAAAATAGCGAAACTTTTTTCCACGTAGACTCTCCGGATCTTCGGGTTATACTTTTGCGGTCAGCTTCTAATAAAATTGAAAACTTACATTCTTTTCAAGAAGCCGCTCCTATCGATACATCGATCAACGTGGATCATTTATTAGGAATCTCATCTTCCACGATTCCCATCTCGCGCGCGAGCCATCGAGGTGTAACGAGAGCGCTTTTGCGCGGAAATAATTATTCGCGGCAATTATGAGCCACATATGTAATTAACTGATAAATTTCGCGTTAATTGCTCTTCATTACGCCGGGCCCAAGATTGATCGGCCTGGTGGGATGGGCCGTTATTTAAATCAAAAGCAATTTATATCGGACGCGAGGCGCGTATAATATCGCGTCTCTACTTTCATGCACGAAACGTGCGAGATTGAGAGATATCTTGTCGAATATATATAAGCAATTTCTCTCTCTTTCTCGAGAAAATAACTCGAATATAATTCACGCGCGTTATAAATCTATTATTCCTTTGTTACGTCGTATGTGTTTGCGCTCAATCGTACATTCGCGGAACGAAACTAGACTGTTGTATGCGCGCGTTGCAACCTCTATATCCTTAATAATTTTATTCTTCATTGAAACCGCGTCGTAAATCAGCGATCGGTTCCGCTCGATTAGATCGCGTATTACGTCCGGAAACGTATTATTACATTTCGTAAATCCTTCGTGTCCCGCGTTTTATATTGCCGTTTAAATAGAACGTATATATACGCATAATACGCTCTACGTAGAGGATAATTATCCAATATTATTTATTTAATATACCGATATCCGATCCCGTTCCGGAGCCGCCGCGGAGCGACGACTGTGGAAATCGTTCGGATTCTAATTCCATTAGAAAGGAAAACGCGTAACTTGTCATGTGTACATGTGTGCGTTTCGAAACTTCCGGTATAATTAACGTTACAAGTCGATATATGCGCAGGCGGGATTTCTCACCCACCGCGATTCCTCCTCTCGCGCACGGATGACATTAATAAACACCTTATTACCGGGGACGACGTCATATCGTTCCTCATCGTAAAATTGTTCGCGGTGAGAAACAGCCACGACGCGGTGAGAAATTATCGTCTTGAATTGCGAAGGCGAGGGAGAGAATTTATATATATGACATGCGTATTAATTAATAAAATTATTAAAATATATGTATACGTTTCCTGACAGAGTAATTAAAGGTTCTATAACTCTTATAAATGCAAATGAATTCTCGACATCTTTATTTCGAGCGATTTCGTAAGAGAGCGAAGAGAGAGAAAGAGAGATTTACTTTATCTCGCGCGGTCTCTATATTTATGGAAAAATGTTTTCTAAAAGTGATTAAATTATCATATTATATACATTAAAAGAAATCTTAATGAAGGATTCATTATTTAGAGTAAATAAATTTCACTTCGAGTTGCAATTAAAATCGACGACAGTATATACACTTACACATTCGCAATTGCTAATAGACCGTGAACTCGTAGTAACTTTTATTATATCATAAATCACTCGAGCGTGGATAAAATATCTCTCTGTATAACACGATATCATATTTCGTCTAATGGTAGAGATTGTATACATTGTAATTCGAATGATATAACAAAATATATTTCCAATTGATCACGATATCTTAGATATACAAACAAGTTATGGCGAATAATAATTTAATAAGTGTCGGGTATATTAATTATCTCCAGCTCACTGATCGCGAGCTCGGGAAGTAATTAAAAATATTTCTAAGCGCGCCGTAAAGGAGCGATTCGAATCGAATTCCCATCCGGATCCTCGTGCAAAGTCAAGCCCATCGTTTCCAGCAAGGAATTATTCGGCACTCCTTCCATTTTGCAATTTCGTATGACATTTTGATTCTCGGGATTTCCTTCACATAGATTTCTCACAGCGAAAATGACCCATTGCAATATAACTGTGTAGAAATTATCGGAGATTAGCGCAAACACACAAGTCATAAAATCTTAATAAAAAATTAAACTTACGTGGATTCCTCGCGTCTATATTACAACAATCCAAGAGTAATGGAATTCCGTCTATTTCGCGAAACTGAAATCACACACACATATATACATATATTACATCGTCATAGTTTTATTTTTATTTTTGTCCTTGTATAACTGTGAATAATGAATAATGCAATAATGTATCACTAAATATTTCTGAAAATGACTAATGATGAGTATAATTTATTATAATTGAGATGAGATCAAAGGCAAAAAATTAACATCATAATTAATTTATCTGTCGATATACATGCGACGCGACTTTGTCATCTGTCGCGGATTTGCTAAACTCGTAGACTCATTGGAATATCAGATTTCGATCATTTTGCCGCATCTCTCAGTTGGACGGGATACTTAATTTTGTTTTGTCTGACGCGACAGGATGTGGATCTTTTGTTCGTGAGATATTCTATATCATCCACATACGTGATTGTAATCAGCGAGAGAGAAATATCGATTTCCTGTACCGTCATACAGCGCATAACAAAAGCCAAATTTATATTTTGCAACTATCAAAGTTCTTTATACGGGAAAATAATTGATCATTACACATGTATGTGTGTGCACACATACAAGCAATGTATAGTACAGTTGATCAGCTGTATTGTAATATATATTATTTTAAAGTTTACTTTACATATATATTAATAATATATTATAATTTTATATAAACAAAATTTATTAGACATCTCAAAATACTTGTTTTTTCATTATGCAATTTCAATTTTTAAATGGTTCACTCGAATCAAGTGCTTAATTAATTTAATTTAAGTCATGATTTGTTAATTTAAATTTTAAGATTAGGAATGTTCTTTATCGACATCAATACATTTTATGAAATTTCATTTATACAAAAATTCTTGTAAAATTTAATATTTAAAAAAAAAGTTTTATGTAATTATACTTACAAGATCTTGACACATTTTATTCTTGTGTACCATATTTGCTATAACTTGTATTAGTCCTGCTTTAAAGCCATATGCAGGATGATCTTGCAGATCGCACTTTACTATTGTTGCTTCATTATGTATTATTGAATTTACAACAGTTGTTTCTTCTTGAGAATTTGGTGCCACTTGACTTAAATTCGTTATTGGAGTAAAATAATTATTTCCTTCCTTTCCCAACATGTGTAAAGACATCAAGAGATCTATAAATAAATCATAGATTTTTAGATTTCTGATTATTTTGTACCAAAAATTTATATACTTACATTTGCAATTAATAAGCAAAGGCCTTGCATTTCTTGAAAACTTGTACCGTGTAGTAAGAAGTCCCAAAATGTTAAGAATAAGAATAATTTCTGTAGGGTTTACGCTGTCCACATACGTGTCTACAGTTTTTAAAATGAGATCACTATTCTTACAAAATGTTAGTGCTAGAAACTCAGCCTGATCATCTGTGAGAACTATACAGTGATCAGATTGCCAAGACTCCCAAAGTTCATTGTAAATGATTTCAAGTAAATCCAATTTTTCACTCATGGCCATACTATTGTATACATTTTCAAATCCATTTGAGTGATGTAACAGGCGTAAGAACGCATCCTTTGCAGATGTAAAACCTCCTTTAATAGGTTTTAATAAGTGCAAATATAGAGCTTTTTCATTATTTGCAAAATAAGTGTAATGTAATTCTTTCAGCGCATTGTGTACATATATGCATGCTGCACTGACTAGGGGTCTGTGTTCAAATTGCATGCTATTCCTAGAAATAATTAAAATAAATTATTATACATTATATTTGAAAAATATTTATATATAATATGTAAAAATACTGAACATTTATATGTAATTATATGTATAAACTTACTTACAGAATAGCTTGTTTTAAATTATCACAGTCTAAATATCTCAGCGCATCATTGTTTGGGGATGCTATACTTGGACATGCATATGTAAACAAATTACATAAAAATTGAATGCTGAGCCTAAAGATATCTAAAGATTCACTGTCAGTCAAGTAGTCTCTCTCTGTAGATTTATTATGAGTTTTAATATAATTTATAGTCCATTTTATAACTCCATCATAAGGAAAATGAGATTCATGCGGATAGTCGCAATCCTGCTTGTGTGTGTGCTCGCACAAATTACTCTTAGCTAATTCGTTATACAAATTTTTCTCGTATTCATCGGATTCTATATTTTCCAACGTGTGTCGTTTGTATTTGTAAGTGTCGAGGCAAGAATTACCCAGACATTTCAAGCATAAAATTTTAATCTTATCCAGAGTGGTTTCAGTCACAAGTATCTGACATATCTGTGCTAAAATACTTGCATCAGGTAACATCCTAAAACATATATATATATATATATATACACATATAACAATTATTATTTACATTTGTTATATATATATTACAATTTTTACATAATTTTCTATAAATTGTTTATCATTTCATACATACTCTGACTCTTGTCTGACAAAATACTTTGGTTTTACATATTCTAATAATTGATCCCAATCTTCTTCCTTTATAATTATTCTCAATTTTTGCGAACTAATATGTGTCGTCATTTTTGTTAATATAAAATCGCCACTATTTATTTATTTCTTGGACGAAGGTTATGCATGTACACGAGTGACACTTGAAATATTTCGAAGCATCTGAAGCATTTGTAGCGTCTTCCCGACCGTGTCATAAATGAATATTTGGTTGCGTATGATTGGTTCGTTCTTGCAGCGCCAACCAATCATCGTGCGAGTTGAGAACTAGCTATACACTTTTGTTGAAAATCCGCCCCAAGGTCCACTTACGATTACGCCATTGCATTGTGCTCTCCCCCCCATTTGTCGCCATTGCATTAAACACTCGGCAACTTTCGTGACTGGCGTTTGTGACAAGTCGGCGTTTTACTTATTATTTACGTCCGTTTGCGAGAGAAGCGAAGCAAAGTAAGATTATAATTTAGTTTCTCAAAATATGATACGTTTAATATTGTATTTGTGGTGATTAAGTTATAAGAACGGAAGAACGCTCAATTTCGTTTTGCTATGTCATTCATAACCAACTTCAGCTTGTACTGTTAGTTCAAATTTTCATTCTTTCTACCAATATCTGTACGTTTCATCCGATATCATAATTGTATTAACAAATGTTTCCGCAATTTTATAGCTTTAGTGAATATATTTATCAGTTGTAATCACGCTCAACCTTAAATTGTATGTTATATTAAGTGTTTGTCGCAAAAATTATAGATCTAAATTTTCACTACTTTTTTAACAGTTTAAAAGATTATATAAATAGCTGAATATAATTTAATTTAAAGTTATAGGCCCATGTTTTCAACTTACTTTTATTGATAAAAGCTCTTTTACTGATAAAAGTGATTTGAGAATATTGGCCCAAGTATTTATATAGATATAAGATAGAATTTTGTATTATCTGTATATCTAACATTAATTTTTTTTTTCAAGATGTTTCTAACACGTTCGGAGTACGATCGTGGAGTGAATACCTTCTCCCGGAAGGAAGATTATTTCAAGTAGAATATGCCATAGAAGCCATAAAACTCGGCTCTACTGCCATTGGAATTGCAACAACGGAAGGAGTTGTTCTAGGAGTGGAAAAACGCATTACTTCTTCTTTAATGGAGCCAACAACTGTAGAAAAAATTGTAGAAATTGATAAACATATAGGATGCGCAGCATCTGGTCTAATGGCTGACTCACGGACAATGATCGATAGAGCTCGAGTTGAATGCCAGAATCATTGGTTTGTCTACAACGAAAGAATGACAGTAGAATCGACTGCTCAAGCAGTATCTAATCTAGCTATCCAGTTTGGAGATAGCGATGATGATGGCACTGCCATGTCCAGACCATTTGGCGTAGCAATGTTATTTGCTGGGATTGATGAGAAAGGTCCACAATTGTATCATATGGATCCATCTGGGACTTTTGTTCAGTTTGATGCAAAAGCAATAGGATCTGGTAGTGAAGGAGCTCAACAAAATCTTCAAGAAGTGTATCATAAGGTAATTTGTCTTACTATTGAATCAATTTAAATACTGTAGAATTTTTATCTTTATTTTAACTAAATATCACTCTTTTACAGTCTATGACACTCAAGGAAGCATTAAAAGCTGCACTAACAATATTAAAGCAAGTGATGGAAGAAAAACTGAACGATACCAATATCGAAGTGATGACAATGACGCCTGGACAATTGTTTCATATGTTTACTAAAGCAGAATTACAAGAGGTGATTAAAGATATTGCTTAAATTATATATGAATTATTATTATAAACGATTTTCACACTTTATTGAATCATGGAGAGAATGGATTTCTCACACAGAGCAGTATAATTGTAAATTATATCTTTATTTATAGGCAAATGCTTTGCTTCTACATATTTAATACTTGCATTCTTCTTTAGAAAGAAAATATTAGAAAAAGAACACTCAGATACGTACATGTATATATATATTTTTTTTCTTTAATATTTTCTTTCTAAAGATGATAAAATAGTATTAAATATATAAAATTAAAAATAGAACAAAAAGTTAAGCAGGATTTAATATGCATAATAAAGAATAAGCATACAGGAGTAAAGCATATGCTGTTAAAAATAATTTATGTCTCTTCTATAAATTCAACATATATTCACTTTTGACATATACATACATGCATTTACAAAAGTAAAGCATTTGCCAACATATAATGAATTTATAATCTTCTCTACATTGAATCTGCGACTCCTTTCATATATTCCTAATATCCTTTTCATCTAAAAAAATTTAACTTTAGCATAAAATGAAATTTAATTTTTGTTTTTTACAAATATACATTTTGAAAATGTTACATATATGTGTATGTATATATAATTATACGTATTTGTTTTTCGGTTTAGTAACGTTATGTTTATTCGATTTAGTTGTTAGACTTCAGTGTTACATCGGAGGAAGATGTGACAAAACCAACAACCGGTAACTCCTTTATCACTCCAATACCTCAGCCTTCTACTTCCCTCAAAGGATAATCAAGAAGAAGCTCCAATTTCTCTCTCCAGATACTCCTATGCTCCATATGTTTGTTCTCCAGTCCTGTATGTACTGTTTTCTTATTATTTTAATATATTCATTATCTGTGAATTTTTCCATAAAGTTTAAATGAATGAATTTTAGTTTTAATAGTCATATGTTAATAAAGCATTCAAAATTGATATTTATATTTGATATAATGCTACTGCGTCTCATTTTATGGAATTAATTTTAATTTGAAGTCATTTGTTTAAACATTCAAAATTGATGTTTATATTCGATATAATACTGCGTTCTTTTTTATGGAATGATTCGCTGATATAAGATCAGTGGTTTTTAATTTGACGTTATTGTGTATCTTGAAAAGTAACATTGAAAAAAAATTGAAACGGGAGATACCTTTTTGCTGCGAGCGATAGTGATGGTTTAACGCAGCGGATAGGTCCAGATCGATTCGTTAAATTCGTAGCGGTCGGAAATGAGTGCGCGACGGATGGCTCGTTTTCGATTAAAAGCCGTCCGGCGCGACTGAATGCGCGTATCCGAAATCAATAATTAATTTTGCCGGCTAGCCGAGAACGAGGCGAAATGGCTTGGCGGAAATGGTCGGATACCGCTTGGGTTGGATGCTGCGATGCCCCGATAAAATGTCCCTTTTTATCCCGTTCTCTCGGCTGCCAGATTATTGGATATTATTCCATTTCAAGCGTTCAATCCCGCTACGATTTGCTCGCTTGGATTCCCACGGGGAGGTGGGTTTCCCTGTCGCCTATTGATTGCACGTAACTCTTAAAATGTGTATGTATATTTCTGCAACGCTGCTGAAATTGTATACATTTTTGTCGTGCTATGCCTGGCACGCATAGGCATGTTGCACGAATCGAATCGCATAAAAAAATACGGTTCTTTTCATTGCGTTGAAGAATACTTTGTATAAGATGTGTATCTCTTGAACACGCTTAAGCGGAGAAAGTCTAATATAACAATAATTGGTAGAAATTTTTATTACGATTTGAAAATGAGAGTTTATAACAGTATACTAATACAATATTTAATAAGGAGAATTCTATTATTACGTCCATACACAGAGAGAATTCTCTTTGAAAATTTACCCTGAAAATCATGAGACAATATGGTATTGGAAGAATTTTATAAGTTTCTCTGATTAATATTTATCACAATAAAAAATATTAATATTTACCAGAATAAATTATAACATATGTTCGATTTATTTTACTATGTACATAATATTATTTTTATTGTGATAAATATTCATCAGAGAAACTTATAAAATTCTTCCCATAATATATTGTTCCACGATTACCATGATTTTCAGGATTTATTTTAAGAGTAAATTCCGTGTAATTGAAAAGTGCTTTAAAAATATACCTTAAAAATTTTTTTTTCTTTAACAATGTGTAATGATATAAAAAAAATATCGAGAGATTTTTGTTCGCGTAACACGGTTTAATGCTCGATTTCGCGAAAATGGTTTCGCAAAAATGAATCCCAGAACAATACGCGCACGAGACGGCACGGTCGTGGATTATTGAGGGTAAATCGCTTGGTGGAAGCGATATGGGTTCGAGGAAGACTAAGGGACTAAGGTAAACGGAGTGAGAGGAAGAGAGGTCGATTCAAGCGCGGCCGAGAAGGACTGGTTGGTAATTAACTGCAACGAGAGGGAGTAGCGGGATAGTCCCGTTTGAGTCTCTGAGAATCCCCAGGGACCTGACCCGTCGTATCAGACGCCAAACACTCACTCCCACACATCGAGCTCGTCATCCTCGAAGCGCGCTGCCACGTTCAAGTTTCGCACTACGATAATTGCCTTCGCTTCACAGTCTCGCTACTGACACTCTCGCCGCAGCGATGATGTGGATAAGAGAATTCTACTCTACGCAAGCTTTCCGCGAACAAAACGTGGAACGGGGTTGAAACGTCAAAGTAGATAATGGCGCGAAGAAATTTCGAGTTCACGCGATTGATACACTTTCTCGTAAAATTTATCCTAAAAATCGTGGTAATCATGAGACATAATATCAAGAGTTTCTCTGATCACAATAAAAAATATTAATATGTACATAGCAAAACTAGTTAAACATATTTTTGATATTTTATTGTGGTAGATATATCAATATCTTTTATTGTAGTAAATATTAATCAAAGAGATTCTTATAAAATTCTTTCAATATTGTCCCACGATTATCATGATTTTCAGGGTAAATTCTAAGAGAAAATTCGCGCTGTGTAATCTGCTATTTTGCGAGAAAATCGTCATCTTCTTTTCTCTTTTTGGTTCTTTTGAACCAATAAAGAGCAAAATATATCATTCGAATATAATTAGCATTTCTGTTGAAATGCAATACAAGTTTAAAATTTAACTCTTTGAAGCGCAAGCTTGTGCTTGTTGATGAAAAATTGATTTATTTTGAAATAATAACCAGCTGATATATAAAATATTACATTTGGGAAGAAAACTATTAAATGAAAATATATATGTATATTCGGATACAATAATTCACGTGCTTCGCGACAGTTAACGTGCAAGACGATTACGAAACAATGATTATGCAGACTCATCCGGAAATGAGACGCGACGCATATATACTTCCGTTAGAACAGAAATATGAGCGAGACAGTAGCAGCGCGCAACACAAACTTTCTTCCTTATTATCCATAGAGCGCCGATAGAAAACCGGAAGTGCACATAGCATCTCGACGTAGGAGAAGGAGCCTGATACCTGAGTGCACGCGGAGCTATAATTCACGCATCGCAGAATCGTCGTCATTTTTTTCACTTTCACGGAGAGCCCCGGTCGTTAGCCCAACATACTCGGTCTCTCCTTATGTTGCGGGCTAATACACACAATTTATCCATACACACACACATTACATTTATTAACTTAATGTTCGCTAATTGACTTAGTTTTGCGATATTTAATAATAAATAATAATATATCTTTATGCAAACTAATGTACTTATGACAGATGACATTACAAGTGTTGCAACTGCATTTGCGATAAAAGACGAATTTCATCTAACTCTTCGGGTACTATAAAATATAAGCATGCTATGATAGATCGTTAGGATAGGTCCAGAAGCAGTGAGTTTTATGGTACCGTATATACATATATAATTTTACCGAGCACCGACTAATCCTGTCGTTAGACTGTTTTTTATGTTACATTCTAATAATGCACTATATCTAAGTACATCCGATATTAGAAATTGCAATATAACGAGGGGACGGGAATATACATACGTATTTTATGACAGTTTTCTGTAGTATTGCATCATTATCGATTTCTCTTCATGTTTGATAATACTACATGTAATTTGTTGTAATTTTTTTACCACGTCTAAACGGACGCGGAAGTCAGATTTTATTGACGGCTAAACGAGAGTCTAAGAAACGATGGAACATTCACCGGATTTTTTTTTTTTTTTTGTAAAAGTCCAGTATAGAATATGATCTACCACGGACATTTTAATCTTTATTTCTATTTAATTGCGCGTGAGTTTCAATTACTCCGCGCCTGATAATATCGATAGGAAAAAGTAAAGCCAGCTGTCCATCCTGTATAACGAAATAGGAAATTTGTTCGTTAATGTAACTCGACCTAATTTCTCGTCAAATATTTTATTATATATAATAAATTTATTATCCCTCTTCTCTCTGTCTGTACAGAGACGAATATATCTCGTGATCGAATTAAATGAATTAAGACAAATTTTATTTTCATACAGATATTCATTTAAGACTATAATTGAATATTAATTTAATATCGTCTGCGAGAGAACTCTCGCTTTGTAAACTGAAAAAAAATGTTTTAACTTGACTAAACCTTTCAACTAAATATTATTTTGTGTACATATAAAAATATTTCAATTAAATATAATATTAAATCTACACGGAAATAATTTTCGTTTAGAATTTACCTTGACAATCACGATAATCGTGGGACAATATGGTATTGGAAAAATTTTATAAGAGATTTTCTGATTAATATTTACTATATACAATAAAAATATTAATATATAAATTTTACTATGTATATAGTAAAATTAATCGAACACATTTTATATTTTATTCTGGTAGATATTAATTTTTTATTGTAAATATTAATCAGAGAAACTTTTATAAAATTCTTCCAATATATCATATCCCACGATTTAAATTCTAAGACAAAATTCTCTCTGTGTAACAAAACATATATATTTGACTTAAATACTAATATATTTAATTAACAAAATAGTAATTTAGTTGTTGAAAGGTTTAGTCAAGTTAACAAATTTTTGTTCAGTGTACAGCGAGTGTTTTCCGCGTTCGAGTATTGCGTAAAATAACTCCCGAATTCCGTGAATCAATTTTTAATCGCAATAAATCGACTTGGTGAAAGGAGTGGCGATAGAAATCTGTGGGATACATACATACGTATGCTTAGATATCCGCGTTGGAAATATGACGTTTACACGTGTATACGCGGCGGACACGGGTGCCTCGATGGAGAAAGTAATGCTTTCCTGAACGCAGGACGCGTGTATCTTAATAAGCGACCGGGAGGCACGGGAATTAAAATTCTCTCAAGAATCGAAAGTGTTCTACGAGGAAGTCCATGTAGCTTCTGTCTCGCGCGTCAGTCAGGACACCCGCTTCCTTTTTATTTGCGCGTATAATATATATATATTTTTTGTTGGTTAAAAAAAAAGGAACGAGAAGACGTGACGCTCTCTTTCTCCCTTGAGAGAGAATAATATCAATAATATTACGCGCTTTTACCGTGTTCATTAGACCGGAAAGCGAACGCGGAAGAATTCTTGTAATTTAAATGCGATTTTTTTTAATTGTACGTTTTGGACTCCGTGAGAATATTTTTTTTTAATTGTTCGAATATCTTAGGCGAAATTGAAACATTTTTTTCTCCGCCGACAATAGAACGGTGAATTTAATTTAGAAGAGTGAAACTCGCGTTCGCTTAGCGGTCAACAAAATTCTCTCTAGAAAGTAAATCTCGACGTTGATGTATATCACGCTAGATGAGCGCAGCATGTTTCGGTGTATGAATTTACGCACCAACGTATCATTCTATTTATCTGTGTCTTATCTCATTTTCTTTCTTTTTTTAAGTAAGAAAAATCATCTTTGGGATCTTAGATCTATGGGGATTAAGAAAAGTAAGGTGTAATAGGCGCAAGAGCGTTTATTAAATCTTTCATATAAAAAGATACTCTTTTCACAATACATTCTTCACTTAACTTAAGTACAACATTTCTCAGTATGGTAAACATACTTCACAGCTACGAACATAACGGATCGCCGCGAACATTGCGAATAATGTTCGTTGAAACTTTTACACGTACTTTCCCGTGTTTTTTTTTAAACTCAAAAATATATACCTGGAACATTCGTCTAGACTTTTCAGAGAGAGAAGAAGATATGTGTCAATCCATTAATTGCCGCGAAAAGTGTCGATGGAATAATCGATTCACCCATATCTCATCGTAACATGTAGCCTAAGAATATTTCGACCGAAATAATCGCTACAGTGATGCATTTTTCGAGAATATAATATAATATAATAGAAAAATAAAATAAAATCGATAAACTCGTCAATCTTTACACCTAATAGGTCATCCCCCCGTTAATCGCGTGTAATTGTCATATTGCTCTCCGTACGACAAATTGCGGGATAAAAATTTTTATTTAAGCGACTAAAATTTTTATTGCTGAGATCTTCCCCACAAGAGATTTCCTAAAACGGTCCAGCGAAAAGATACCGAAATAGCGCGCGATCACATCGAGAGAGAGAAAATGAGAAGGCCCCTCGTCTCATGTTCGCTTCATTGTCACCGAAGATCAGCCGTGAAGCGATTAATAACCACCGGAGTGACCAAAATCGTAGCCTCCTCCGTCGCCTCCTCCGTAACCACCGTAACTACCATAATCACCACCGCCGCCGCCGCCGCCGCCATAGTCCTCGTGCTTCGGTATGTGCACCGGTACGGCGACCGGAACTTTAACCGGTACCGGTACTTCCTTCTCGACCGGAACCGCTACCTCCTTCTCGACAATGTACGGTTTGTCTACCGGCACCTTGATCGGCACCGGGACCGGCTTCTCTACCGGCACCGGATACGGTTTGTGCACGTGATAGGGTTGCGGCACTGGCACCTTTACCGGCACCGGATACGGTTTCGGCACCGAGACCGGATAGGGCTTGTCGACGGGCACCTTTACCTCGTACGGTACCGGCTTCTCGACCGGCACCGGATACGGTTTTTCAACGGTTACCGGATACGGTTTTGGCACGTGGACTGGATACGGTTTGTCCACGGGCACCTTCACCTCGTAGGGCACTGGTTTCTCCACCGCGTACGGTTGTGGTACCGGCACCTTTACCTTCACCGGGAAGGGCACGTGTTTCTCGACGGTGTACGGTTGGGGTACCGGCACCTTTACCGGCACCGGTATATGCTTCTCGACGGTGTAGGGCTGCGGCACGTATACCTTGACCTCGTAAGGCTTGTCCACGGGTACCTTCACCTCGTACGGCACCTTCTTCTCGACGGTGTACGGTTGCGGCACCGGTACCGGCACCTTGACGAACACCTTCACCGGGTAAGGCACGTGCTTCTCGACGGTGTAGGGTTGCGGCACGCCTACCTTCACCTCGTACGGCACGTGCTTCTCCACCAGGTAAGGCACGTGCTTCGTTACTTCGTACGGTACCGGCACTTTCTTCACAACCGTCACTGTCTTCACGTGCTCGTGATGATCGTAGCCACCCCCGTCGCCTCCGCCGCCGTGCAGATCGACTCCACCGCCGCCCAGATCACCAAAACTGTGGACGAGACCGCGTTTCTCCGTCTTCTTGTCCGTTGGTTCCGCCTCGACCTTCTGCGAATTCCTGTCACTCGCCTCGCTCGACTCCTTCGAGCATATTACTTGAGTGGCCACTGCCACCAAAATGATGGCAATCTGAAGTCACGCGTCAAATATGTATATATTTATGCTTCAACAGCTAATTATATAATAATAAACATTAATTTATTTTTTTTTATCGAGAGAACTATAAATATCTTTTTGCAATTTGCAGCCAAAAGAAATTTTATCGATATATTACATGAATTCCAAGCCAAGATATATGATATTCATCCGAGATCTGATCTTTAATTTCATCCACTTTTTGCACTAACTTACCTTGATATTCATTCTCGAGTTCGCGTATGTTTTTAGCGTGGCGTATGACCACTAACTGAACCGCTACGTTTTCTAGTCTGAGCCTTATATAGCCCGCGCTATAATAGCTTGGCACTTTCCCTGCACCTCATCGCTTATATTATCCGTATGGAGTCTTGCTTTACGTACGTTAGTACAAAAAGTCGCCTGGGCGAGTTCAGGAAATAAACCCGCGTGCGAAATTCGCATCGTGATAGCTTAAAGTTCAACAACATTGAATTCAAAAATATCTGCCAACATGCGATTTGTATTGTATATGAAACTGACTTTCTTTCTTGAGGCAAATGACAATCATATGCATAAGCAGACCCTTGCAGATATTTTGCATAGGTAAAATATTGTTTGCATATGTCTTCCTCTTTTTATCTTGTGTATTTTATTAAAAAAAAAGTTTTCTTTTTTTATATTTTTTTCAAGAGTTATGAACAAACTTGAAAACATTTTTAATTTTCAATTTTTTTTCCTCGAGACGTACAATGCATATTTATACGTACATACAATGGATAAGAATTGAATGTATACATATAATATGTCATATTATAGTATTTAAGAAGTATGGACAACTGAAACACAAAATTATTAATTTGACTAAAAGCATTTAGTTAGTTCTTTTCTTGAAACATTTAAATATTGAAATACGACATAGTCGACAATTACTTCCTCTATTTACATAAAGTATATCTCTTAGTTAATTATAAAATATACATAAAAAAGGCTCTATATTATATAAATACAATATTATAGCAGAAAAACTAGGGCTACAAAGTAAATGGAGGAAGTTAATGTTCACGGAGTTATGGTCGGCGAATGTGCAACACCGTGATTTCCGTCTCTCCTTGTCAAGTTGCCATATGCGCAACTCTAAATCAACGCTTTGTTTGTCTGCTTTTCTTGGTAGATGATAGGTGAAAACTCACGTAACGTTGAATAAGAAACAATATCATGCACAAATGGCTTCCGAATGTTATATTCAATACACACGTCAGCAAATTCGATTAATCTCTCTTCTCATATCAACCGATTAGAGGAACATTTATAGTCCTTTCATCGCGCTCCATTAAGCATAGGTTTTACACATTGCCAATCATTTGTACACTATTTTATAGAGTATTACCTCAATACATTACATGTTTTTTTAACTGAAAGAAGATGACAGGCGCTTTTTCGACCCTTCCGTTTTATTTTAGTTATATTTGCATTGAAGATATATATATATATATATATTTATATTATTTTGCTCTACGGGTTGTTTTTCAGAGACGCCGTTATCATTCGATGCCAGTTGTCTGAGCTTTCGCGCTAACCGTATCGATGAGCCCCTATTACAGGCGCGTGTAATTACTGTAGAAATCCGAGTAAAGCTGTGCGAAAGCACTGTAATCGCGAGCTTCGCATACGGAATACGCAATGCCGTATGTTAATACGACTCGCATGCGCGTCGTACATTTCGATCGAGATATATCGCAATTTTTAACGATTAATCATCGCTCAAACATCGAGGATCGTACATCTCGTGGTGAACGCTTATTATTCTACACATTGTATATGTACATACATGTAGATCTATCGCCTCGCGTGTTTTAATCCGATAAATATTACGGTAAATATGACAAATATATCGCCCAAATGAGTTTGCTTTGCACCCTTAATTAATCGATTGACGCACAACCATGGATATTTGTCCCTTCCCACCCTTGGAATTAGTAATTACTTAAAGTTTACTCTTCTTTTGAACACTAGAATTTATTTGCACGCTTACTATTAAAAAAATTAAGAAAAAATAAAAAAACAAATGTCCCCTCCTAGAAAAAATTCTGCGGATGCCCGCAACGTCATTAATTAAACATTGCGTTAATGGAAGTTAACGAGAGATTACGAAGAAAGCGAATTTACAAATTTGACATGAATATCGCGAAGGAAACGCGTTATTTTGCGTTTGTGATCAATCATTAGATTTATTGAATAGGAAAATCATGTATATCTTCCTCGTAAATTATTCTTGAAAAACTGCCAAGAATGTTACTCCGGACGTAGAAGAGAGAATAAAAAACTATTAAGTTATTAACTATTAAGTTCGTGCTGTCGGATATTAGTTATCGTTTCATCGGCAATTATTTCACGCAACGTCATTAGCATTTTTTATACCAGCGACGTATACTCGCTTGATGACTGATCATTGAGACAGTTATCGATTATTAGAACACGAGAGTATAAATTCATATCATGAATTTATAACGACTCTGAATTAATCTCGCAATAAATATTTAAAATTTTAGTACATATATTGTATTAAAAGGATTTTTATGAATTATCATAAATTTAGATTTAGCGCAAAAGAACACTGACAACGAGTGTATAGAAGTAAAAATCTATGTTCGCGAATTGCGATTACAACAACCTCATGCGTAATTATATCCCATTATTAGAAGACGTTCACTTTTCTCTTTCGCTCGCTCGCTCTTTCTTTCTCTCCTCTTTTTTCTGGATTATACGTAACATTCTTTGACGGTGTAATGTCTCGATAAGACCCACGGCAGAACATTCGATAATAAGCTCTCTCTCTCCTTTTTTTTTCTCTCTCTCTTTTTCCTCTTCTCTTTCTTTAAAAATTTTTTTCCTTTCCCTTTTCATCCTTTTATTTCTCCGTCCTTTTTCATCCTTATACCTCTCTCATTCCTTCACCCAGAGGAGTATAATCTATCGCTACTGGCGCGCAAATTACTCGGTAGCGATGGCCGCCGTCGGGCGGTTTTTAATTGACGACGGACGAAATGAAGTATCATGCCGTGCATTATAATTGGAAACTTTTATGTTGCGTGCGCGGCCACGGCACGTCGGGGGCCTACCGAGGCGTGAATCCGAGCTTGCATTTTCGCTACGATCGCACACTCCGCGTTCTCCTCTTCGTGTTACTTTTTTTCCCTTTCACGGATTTCGAACGCGTCAGTCGTATGCCCTTCAAAAAATAAAGGGAAAAAAGGCGCGCGCGATCATCGCGCTGCAAAATTGCACCACCGAGAGAGGATAAACACTAACGGCAAAATTTGTTTCGGGGCCTCTTCGCGAGCCAATCTTTTCTCTGTCAGCTCTCTGTTAGCTCCTTTCATTAATCTATCATTAACAAAATATCTTCTTATGTTTTCGATTTGCAACGCAAATATTAGCGATGGGATTAAGTGTCTTACAAGCGCGTTCAAATTTGTTGGCATGGTTTTGAACGCTCTGTGATTACTTCGAAATGAAAACAGTGTACTTTCAAGTAGAGTGGAACCTGGGCGAGAATTCTCTATGATTATTTCGAAAAAAAACGAGCTACTTCTATACTCGAATCTGGATCATGTATTTTTGAATATTTTATGATTTGGAAATTTTACATTTCGAATCAAAATATTTATATGAAGCAAAAGCTATTTTAATATATTATTTTTATTATAATTAAAACACTTTTACACACAAGAAAAAGTATAACACAAGATATTTAATAACATATAACAGTATTGTAATTTTAAATTTTGGAATTTTCTAGTACTATACTTACAAACAATTTGATTTTCTTGCAGATACTCAATCTAAAATTTGAATATTTATAACTGTTCTAGAGTTGATTACTTTGAAAGTATAATATATGAGATATTATTTCTTGCACTGAAAAAAATGTAACTTGACTAAACCTCTCAACTAAATTACTATTTTGTTAATTGAACATATATTAGTGTTTAAGTCAAATATATGTTTTGTTAGATTTAATGTTATATTTAATTTAAATATTTTTGTGTGTGTTAAATTAATTAACAAAATAATATTTAGTAGGAAGATTTAGTCAAGTTAACACATTTTTTTCACTATATGAATATTATATAATACATCACTGAAAAAAAATTTATTTAATTCGAATAACTATTTATTTCAATACTGCCAAATGAATCATTTATTTGAAACTAATAATATTTATTTAATATGAAAAATATTTATTTGATATAAGAAAATTCTTTTTACAAAACAAACAAATATTTATTTGTTTTAAATAAATGATTTATTTGGCAGTATTGAACTATATAAATATGTATTAATTTGGTCATTTTTTTCAATGTATCGAACTTGATCCCATCCCTAGTATAAATACTGTAACAACAATTCTTCATTCTTTTCCGCATATCAGTAACATATACGCGCACGCAGATCCGCATTTATCCTCTCATCCATATTAATGGTAACGCGTCTAACGAGGCGTTTGATGGAAAAGTGAAAGGAGACACGCGGCGCGCGACTTTCCCCGAAATCTTACAACATTAAGTCGAACGGGTATAATAATAATACGAGCGGACCAAAACGAGAGATTGCACGCTTAATGTTTCACCGACACAAAATGTCCATAAAATTTGGCAGGAAGTACGCGACGATTCGCACGCGTAATATCGCGGGCCGCGATTAATCATCTTTTTCGGTGTTAGTGCGTTTTTTATACGAACGGCGCCACCGGAAATTTCTGCTCGGAAGGAATAATGACACTTCAAGGTGCCTTTTCATACGCAGCATGCTGCAGCGGCAAATCACGTTAATCAGTCACGTGATTAAAATTTATTAGAGCATATTTCTTTGTTCTCTTATTATTTCAATATTAAAATTACGATTTTTGTTTTTATATTCTCATAATCTATTTTATTCTTAAAATCCATTATTTAACTAATTAATAATAATAATAATTAGAATCAACTAGCTGCGTGTCCTTCTGCTTTGCTGCCTTTGCTGTTCGTTCAATTGAACTTCATCAATAGCAACAATAAACTGCTGCGGAAGCATATGTCGCACATGAAATGGTACCTTTAGCCTCCGTCCTACAAAGCAGATTCTTGAATCAACGAAAATACAAACGATTATATTCGAGAGAGAATTTACATGGTGTATATATGCGTATGTATTCGACGAGAAAATATCACGCGCTGATAAAAGCGGAGGATAACTACTATCCTCGACACTTGGCGGGGATAACGCGACTATAATCGAGTGAGCATTAAGAATCCGTGAGATGCCGAAGCGAGCGAATCGCGCCGGACCGGTTCGCTTACGATAATCATCATTCTTCTCGCGGCCGCGCAAAACAAACGTTTCATTTTCGACGATAATCATAACGATGGACCGATCGTTATACATTTACGTTATTATACAAATGTATAATTGTCGGCCGTTCACGTTATCATTATATCGAGGGAGCAAAGGACGATGATCGCGGCTCGCCT